ATAGCTTCATCTTCAATTATAGCTCTTTTCTGCTTATTTGTTAAACGAACATTTGATAGTTTTTCTAGAGTAAGTAAAGTTTCAAAGGGTTTAGGTCCCAAGAGTTGTATTCTTGATTCTTGTAATCTTATAGACATATTAGGATGAGTTTTGAGATTATATTTATTAAACATTCTCTCAAGATGCTGCTGATGGACAATTATGAGCCAAATTCTATGTTTGATAAAATCATATACTAGTGGGTAATCGGATATTTCAGTATAGGTAGACTGAGAAAAGGCCAAAAACTGTTCTTGAAAATCATTATCTTCTAATGCCTGAAATAAACCAAAGAATTCTTGTTTTTTTGTTTTCAAATCATCTGCTAATTTGTCTATATATTTTTTTTGTATTTCTGTAAGATTATTCAGAATTTGGATTTTTAATATAACTTTAATAACTGCAATTGCAAAATCGGAACCATGAATTTCTCCAAGTCAACATATAGAAAGAGGTAAATGTGTCCATGGGTCCATCCATTTTTTGAATGCCTCTAATACTTTTATTAACACATTTTCAATTCTATTATTAAGATTAATAAATTCATTCTCAGGTAAAATTTCGTAGGCCAATAATAATTCCTCTACAAAAACTTTATCTGGATGTTTTATTGCTGCTTGTAATTCATTAATTCACTGCTTTACATTATCTGGCATTTTGCTTGCTCTAAATCCATTTGGAAGGTTTGTAAAATTCATATCCTTACCAATTAAAAAAAGCATCACCTTTTCATAAAACTATTCACCAAAACGAGCTATAACCTGAATCTCTATATTCAATTTGTCATTTTGCAAGAAGTTATGAAATGCTTTTCACTTTTCTAAATAACTTCCAGGAACGTTATTTGCTATTTGTAGTTGATTAATAAACCAACTAGAAAATTGTAAGTGAATATCTCTTTGACTTAAATATTGTTTAGCCGTAGTCAATTGATATAACCAACGAGTAGAGATTGGCTTTTGATATTTTTTAAGATCATGATTTATTAATGATTTATATAATTCATTAATTATTTCTGTTTT